TGACAGAATGACGTTTTTGCTGTCAATGTGGTTTGACGTATGACGTTTATTGAATTTGTAGATGGCGCTTTCGTCGATGGCAACCATCATTAGCCAAAGGTGTTTTATCCAGAACCACAATATGTATTGTTTCTGAATATACCGCCGGCCTTGGAAGAACCAGCTTCTTCCAAAGTGTGGTCTTCGCTTTACTCGCCCTCTGTATCCTCCGGTTGAAGTGGAAGCGGACAAATCTTCGCAAACGAACGTCTTAAGATGCCAGTAGCAGTCCGAACATCAGCAACCCGAGACACGCCATCGTTGCCTGGGAACACCTTAATCACACGGCCGAGCTTCCATTTGAGTGGAGGTAGATTGTCATCCTTTATCAAGACAAGCGTATCCAGAGCAATATCGCTTTGATTGGTCTTCCACTTCGTTCTCGTCTGCAATTCTACCACGTATTTCTTAGACCAGCGCTTCCAGAAATGTTGTCGCAGCTGTTCGATTCTGTGATAGCGTGTTAGCTGGGAATCCGTAGCCGCCGTCAAGTCTTCGCATGCAGGAGCTGCCAGAGACCGACCGATCAGGAAGTGAGCTGGGGTCAGTGGAGAAAAGTCGTGTGGATCTGTGGACATAGGGGATAGAGGACGGGAGTTCAGGACGGCCTCGATTTGTGTTAAAACCGTGCTGAACTCCTCGTAAGTCAACCGAGCATTACCAACTATGCGTCGAAGATGGTATTTACATGAGCGCACCCCTCTCTCCCATAAGCCGCCACAATGAGGAGAATAGGGAGGAATGAATTTTAATTTAATTCCATCGTTTGAAAACGACTCGACAATAACATTCGAATTTTCAGAAAAAAATGAGAGAAGTTCCTTTTCGGCTCCTACGAAATTCTTCCCATTATCGGAAAGAATAATATCAGGCTTGCCTCGTCTACTCATAAAACGTTTTAAAGCCAGTAAATAATCTTTAGTAGTGAGACTAGTTACAATTTCTAAATGAATTGCACGTGTAAGTAAACAAACGAATAAAGCAATGTAACATTTACTAAGTCCAGCACCTCGTCCTCTCCGATTTAGTACATAAACTGGGCCTATATAGTCAACTCCCGTCTGGATAAAAGGGAAACCGGGATCCAAACGCTCATTCGGTAAGTTACCCATTATAGGAGACAAAGTGTTACCTTTATGACGAGTACACGTTACGCATTCGCGAACTATCTTTTTTGCCAAGTTTCTTGCACCTAATGGCCACCAACACTCACGTATGTTAGCCAGGAGAAGCAAAGGGCTAGCATGAAGTAGTCTCATATGTTCGAATCTAAACAATAGCAAAGTAAACCGATGTTTACCGCATAATAAAATGGGATGTTTTTTCTCGTATTGAAAACTAGACGAATTACCAAGCCTACCACCGACTCTAATTATATTATGTTCATCTAAAAACACATTTAAGCCTAATACACGTTTAGTGTTTTTATTTTTCAACGGTAACTTGTTTTGTAAACAATAATGCACGTCCGAAAAAGAATGCATCTGAGCGAGTTTAACTAATAAACGCTGCGACTCGTTCAGCTCGTCGACAGATAGCAAACCGGTTTTGCATTGTGAGCGCTCTCGCTTCATACGCATATTGTAAACAAAACGAAGTACATAGGCACAAACTCGTTTTATTTTAAGAAATGACGAATATCTTTCGAAGTCGAATAAACAGTCGATTAATGTCGTAGTATTTGTTTGTATAATTTTTCGTAAATCCGGTAAATTATTGTTATTTAAATTAATATGATCGCAATTAATATTTTTATTTACAAAATTATGATCATGTAAATAAGAGGGTCCTGTCCACCATAATTGACAGTGAATTAGTGAATCAAGGTTTAAACCTCGAGATAGCAGGTCAGCAGGATTATTCTTGCTATTTACATGTAACCATACTGAGTCGCCAGTCAATTCGTTTAATTCAGTTACACGATTTTGAACAAAGGTTTTTAATAAATGAGGTGACATGCGTATCCAGCCCATTACGATAGTCGAATCCGTCCAAAAACAAGTGTTAGTAAATGATAACTTTAGCGAACTAATTATTTTCTTATAAAGCCTAGCTCCCAGTAGGGCACCACATAATTCAAGTCGTGAAATGTCGTTTTGAAGAGCAGGACCTGGCAATTGAATGTCATTTAATGATTTTTGTGACGTAGTCTTCGCACTGCCGTCAAAAACCGCGCGAAGTTTAGTAGTAGTACTACTCTCTTTATAAACTCCATGATGAGGTAAGAAAAAATTTGGAGTATCATATTTTTCTACGCGAGTCATATGACCGAGAACTTCGTATTCTTTCATAAATTTATTATACATATCTCTAAAAAATGGCAAACGTTCAAGTTTCCTTTCAAGTGCTAAAAACGTTTATTAGCTACTGAATAGGAATCCCCTAGAAAATCAGCTGATTCCCGTAGCGGTATGCGAACTGAAAATCTACCTTCTTTTACGCGTTTTGTCGTATTTATAAATAATTCTTCGCATTTATTTTCGTCTTGTGTCAAAATATTCTTTGACACAGATAAATCTTCTATTTCCCAGAACTTACGAAGTTGTAAATCTAACGAATGACTAAAATTACATTGAACTTCGATTATATTCGAATGTTTAGAGAAGATAGGACCAGAAACCACCCAACCTAACTTCGTATTTAATAAAAATGGACCTGAAGGTAAACGGATCCTACCCTGTTCCAAAATATCCCAAAATATATCAGCACCGAGTAATAAATCTGTCTGATGATACATCGAAAGTGGGATCTGCTAGTTGTATATTATCGGGGATATTTAAATGTTCGAGTGAAATGTTTGTCATAGGCAAACTTGAGGTTATTTGAGGTAAAACTAAACAAGATATTCGTTTATTAAAATTGCTTGTTTTAGAACGCATAGAAATAACACATGATTTATTCGTATGTGTGAGATGACCCACACCTGCTATTCGAACAGTGGACTGTGTAAAATTCGTATTTAATCGTTTAGCTAATTTTTCCGATATTAAGCTATGCTGGCTGCCGTTGTCTAACAGAGCACGGGCGACATGATATCGATTATTTTGATCCGCTAGTTCAACCAAAGCAGTTGAAAGTAACACTTGGTTAAAATATGAGCTGCTACCGTCCGTATTATTATTTATCGCATCGGCACGGTAAGCCGCTGAATGCATAGCCGAGAATGTAGGAGCGCATGCCGTAGTGCACACATTCGTATTGCTGCTACTTTCGCTATGTTCGTCTAAATGTAATAAACTATTATGTTTTCGTTTGCACTGCTGGCAAGGGCCGAATATACAATCTTGAATTGAATGCCCTGCGCGAAGCCAATATTGACACATAACTTATAATCGTTTACTAATTTTATTCTATCCGTAATTGATAAATTTAAAAACTTAATGCATGTAAACAACTTATGATTATTGTTACACATAACACAGTTGCGCTTTGTTTTATCTATGTTTTTATTTTTATTAGAGAAATATTTAGTATTGTTAGATACATAGCTATAAACTTGGTTATGTTTAGTTTCGTTTATATTCGATTGATTGGACCTAAACTGGGCTTGGAATGAGTGACATTAATCATTTCTAACATATCTGCCCTATTTCTCAGAAAGGTAAGAAGATCTTCTAGCTTCAATCTATTTGGCTGAGACATAAGGGAACCTTTGTGGTTCTCCCACTCACGATCAGTAACAGAATCTAATTCGTTACGACTAAATATATGATTAATGTTCCCATGACTCGGTAGGTTCGTCTAATGATTTTAGAGCACGCAAATTCCTCAAAATTGTATCAATTAACTTTCTTAATTGTAATGGCGATTCTTGTTTTATACATGGAATATTGAATAACGATTTAATATGATTATGTACTAATAATCTGTGATTATGAAACCTATTCTCCAAGAGCTCCCATGCATGAGTGTAATTACAGGCAGTGAACTCTAATGCACTTATAACCTGTAAGGCTGTGCCACTAAGTGAAGATCTCAAATAATGAAACTTATGAATAGCGTCAAGATCAGACCGTTTATGAATCATAGTTTCATAGGAATTTTTAAACTCCAACCAGCGATCATATGATCCATCGAAAATAGGAAGCTTGATTTCAGGTAGTTTAACATTTAAAGTTTTCGTATTTTCGTTTAAAATATGACTACACTTTTCATTGTTTAAACTATAACTAGTCTCAAAACTTTCGATTAAACATGAAGCTGATGCTGTTGTACTAAAATATAATGATTCTATTGATTCAAAGTATTCCAAATGACTAACAATATCTACTTCAGGGCAATTTATTTCTATTTCACTAGCAATATTATTTAATTTCGTAAAATATTCGCTGGCGGTTTGTAATCGCAATTTCATTTCAGCTACTTGTAATTTAGATAATGTCGCATCTTGAAAAGAGTCAACGTATTTTTTAAATTGAGTTAACCGTCCTTTTAAATGACCTCTTTGTCTTTTTAATTCTGAAAGGTATTCATCTTTCGACTTTTTTCTAGGAGAAACAGGTAATAGTTTAGAAGTCTCCTCAGTCATTGTGGCGTTTTATGGGAAAACGAAATGCACTTACTTGTAAAAACACCACCAACCGACACAAAGAGTAGGCCGCGCCGACCGATCACGCAACTGTAAGCACAAAACACAATTTTAACACAATTCGCGTAAAGGATGGTTAAAAGATAGGATATCCTGACCGTCGAGTGTCGTAGGTCTCGTAGTCTCGCTGTAGGTCTCGTAATCTTGTCGTCAA